CTTTCGTGACTCTCGATCGACATTGACGCCTGTTTTGCCACGACGCGCACGTATCTCGCACGAACAAGTAATTACGTTAATTCGATCGATGTTTTCTTTTGCCTCTGACACGCTGGCGACGAATCGACAGGGATGGAAGACGTCTTAGCAAATTTGAAGATGGAAAGACGATTGCGAGCATAGAATCGGAAACAGGTCGAGAGTATAGAGAATCGAGGTGACAGATGCCAATTGTAAAGGAGATGATCGGTAATACCAACCGGTTGACGATAAACGTTCTACTCTATTAACTTTTCCCCTTTTATTCTCTTCTTTCTATTTTTTTCTTCCTTCTCTTCTTCTTCTTTTTTTTTTTTTTTTTTTTTTTTTTTTAGTACTTTTGCTACACAGGCTAATGCAACTAGCTACTGGCGATAGGATAACGGAGGCAAAAAACCTGGACAAAAATCCGTGTCGCGGGCATGGTAAACGGAACGTCGGACAAAGAAACGGAGAAGAGCGACGCTTCCGGTGCAGTGAAGTCCTTCTGACGCGTGTCCGGTTGGTTGGTGTGGAATACCTTCCTTCTATGCATACTCTTTCGACAAAAATTCGCGCTTTTTTCCCTCTCTTATCCAACGTTACACGTTACCCTCCTTTTTGCCGTACGCTCTGTTACAGTTCTGTGACGACGACGCGCAAACAATGACGAGGGTTACGTAACAGCTATGCACGAGAGAGGCAGCGTTCTCTGCTTGCGCTTCACGCAATTCTCCCGTGCAGGGTGGCCAATGAGCAGTAACAGGAACGCCGCTAGCGAACCGCACTCCCGTGAACGCTCAAACAATGCGTATCATACTCAGCCGAGTTGCTTGAAAATCTGTCTGTCGTCGATCGGTTTACGTTCTGTTGTCTGACAGATTTTATCGCCTACGAAATTTCATACAAGTCTAAATTTTTTATACAATTTCTAAGGGAAACTGGCACGCTACACGGACGTACAAAGTCGAAGTAGATACTTTGGATCGGCGACAATATTTCTCGTTTCTTTTTTCGCGTAATAACAACGTAACAATGACGTGAACGAAATTGTTGTCTGGAGGCTGCGTAGAAAGACACGAGTACTGTTAGTTGGTGTTCAAAGTCGTAATCTCGTGGGTCCGAGATATTTTCTCGTGACCGCAAAACAAGAGGAGGCAGCGGTTGCTTGGACGAGCGAATGCATCGAGCTGCTCGGTCCAACCGGGATTGTCCTTCATTACGCACGAAGGAAAGTGCAGTCATCGACGTGCATACCCGTAGGTATGCACACAGAGGCATTAGCTCCCCCAAAGCCAACCGGTATTAATTCCACTAATTGGACGTGGTTTGGTTCGTGGCAAACATCGGTCCCCTACCGATCCTCGACCTTCCTCGGACGAGGGACCTGGATCTCGCGATCGATCGTTTTTTCATCTCAAACAATGACCTTATCGTTGACAAAAGCGAATACCTTTCCTCGAGAATGTCATCTCCTTTCGAGTCACATATATTTTTTTCCTTTTTTTCAAGTAAAATTAACAATACGAGGACCATAATAACAAAGTGTTACTATCTCAAGAAAGCTACTTGAAATGTGAGAAAACTCGACTCGAAAGAGACTGTTGGTGAAAAAATGAAATGATAAGATGATCGAACCCCTCTCAAACGACTCGCGATGGTCAATGGACGTTAGGCCCAGGGGGTCTCGTTTCGTTTGGGGTTGCACGAGGTCAAGGGATCAGCTGTGGTAGAGGAATATGTGTGCGAAGCCTGTTACATATATACATGTACATACTGGTAACAAACGCAGAGGGTCTTTCCTCGTGGATCTGGGTCACCGGGCTGATGAGGACTGATGGGGGGTTGACCGCTAGAAAAAGGCTAAACGATGGTTTTTCCCTCTTGCTCCTTTCTCACTCATCTCGACAGCCTTTGAACTCTCGCCTGTAACGAGTCAATCGAGTACAGTCAGTCCTCTCCTTACATCTTAATTTTTTATTTCGGCTTTCGATCAAGATCGACTATCCAGTCGAATGATTTCCTTTGTTTCTTTGAACGGGATTGCGGTTAATCATGGGCAGTGAGATCAGAAGGTTCCTGTACGTGAAACGAGAAAAAGCGACAATGAGTAGCGACAGAAAAGGGAGATATTGCACGGACAGCCTGCAGGGGAAGTTCGGACGTAAGAAGCATCGGCGGATACGTACAGTTTGGGTATGGTACAAAGATATTAAGCACTCATACTCGGAGCTTACCGAGAGCTGCGGAGATATGGTATATCGTCGGGTATGGTATATCGCGTATGCCGCGGGAGGAGGAGCGGAGAAAAGGTGGTAGCGTGGCTTGGCTGTGAGAGGGGACACGCGGGTAAAGGAAGGGTAAGCAAGGGCGAAAGAGAGTAGTCGAGGAGCAGAGAGAGACCGCGAGGAAGCAGAGTTACCTACAGAAGAAATAAGTGCGCTCGTGTAATGCTGATGGCGAATATGGTAGAGGAGATCCGAGGGAACGGCGAAGAAGAAGGTGGCAGGGAGGATAGGCTCTTTCTGCGGGGCAGGAGAGGATGCAAGTAACGGAAGGGGGACCCCCCGCGCGCACGGAGACCGACCGATCGATTCGAACGCCGGCGACATTCTTCGTCGTACGGACAGAGAACCGAGGAACAGGGAGAAACTGACAGAGATG